GCCGCGAGCGACCCGACGGTCCAGGAGCGGTCGGTCACAGTGACCGACCAGGTCGGGACCGAGGGTGTAAAGACTTACCTTCAGCCACCATGCAATGCAATCAATGAACAATCCCTTCCCGCATGCAATGCTGACTTCAGGGGAGAGGGGAAGGAAATCCCGACTTGAATGAAATGGCCTCTTTGGGCTGAGAAGTGGCCTGAGAGGTCGCGTGCGGCTGCTTGCTATACTTTACCTCTCAAACGTCAAGTATGCAATATGTCCACTATCCCGGGTTTAAATGATGATGGTTTGTGGTCGGGTCCGATTTCCCAGCTACACCTGCTTAGTAGTCCAAGGACTTGAAGACAGAACAGTGTGTCTCCTTGTGTTGTGAAGATTGGACACCGAAGCCGTGGATTCGCGGCGTTTCTTCGCCTTCGCATCGAACGCCGTGCGCCAAGCATCCACATTGGCACCGCCCACGACCACTGAAGAGGCTCCTCCCTCGGGGTCCAGCATCACCATGCCCTGCCTGAGACGGCAGAGGATAGCCGCGGTGGCCGGTGGACGCGCGATGACCCCATGGCCCTGGAGATGGGGTCATTCCATAGAAAGCACCGGCCAAAATGGACAATAGAAGACTGCTTGGTAACATGATCTTCAGGTGGGACAGGTCCTGCAAAAATGATCAGAAGCCTTGGCAAGGCATGCAGATCTGTGGTTGCGGAGATATTTTCATCATCCAAACCATCGTCCACCAGGAAAAACTCAGCATGTTCGCAAAAAAAGGAACATGAGTCTTCTTCCTTCATTCAGAAGTCTCATACCATAAGAGGTAGAATATTCCAAGCCATTCCGTCCAGGTCTCCTCATCGTCTTTTTCAACTCCCCAGCGAAATGCAGTAGAGGTACCCTGATGGCAAAGTCTCGGACCGAGTGCAGCCGCTGGTGTCGACACCATTGGAGTTCAAAACATCCAGCAGCCTGCAACGGGTTGATCTTGGACATCTTCATGCACTCAAAGGGCTATGGCAGCTATAGGGTGGCGGCCAGTGATTGGATTGGGAAAATGAAGGAAAGCGATGTTGGTGTGAACTGGATGAGTTGACAGGCGTAACTTGGCGCAGCCCCATGGTCACTTCATGCGGTTTGGATGCATCGCCTTTTGCCTCAATCAAGGCCAAAATGGTGTTGTGCATCTTTGGGTGAAGTGTCAGGTCAGGCTAGCACCCCTCCTGAGGACCTGTTTGGCCTCGCAAAAACGCTCACAGAGTTCCTGATCCTGGCAGGAGACGTCATGCCGCTTCGTGATTTCTCATGAGATGAATTGCTGCTGCAGTTGGGCGCGCCAAAACGAACAATCGGAAGCTGCCTCATTTTTTCAGGTCGGTCAGTCCCTGAAGAACTGTCGTCTGCGCTGTTGCACGATGGCTCTCTTAGCATCTATTTCTTGGTTGATCCAAGGCTGGAACCTTGAGGCAGCTATGGGACCTGACTATCATACGCAAGTGCGCAAGCAGCGTTATTGCACGACACTTGATGATTCGCAATCACTGCAGACGCACGCTCTGGTTACGGGCAAGCGCCTATCGCGGGGAAAAAGAACAGTGTGAACTGACGGAGTGTCCAAAATGCGCTTCAATCCGGAACTATGGAAACAGATCATCCAGACTTCTCACCAAGCCTTTCCACCGACCGATCGAGCTTGGAACACCCACGACACCCTGCGCACACACCCCCCCGGACGGGCGCACCAGGCGCCGTGGGCGTCCGCGCCCACTCGCCCGACGAAGCGCACCGCCGCGCCAAGGCGGGCGGCAGCGACCGCCTGGTTGGCGCCTTTGCCTCCGACGAGGGGTCAAGACGGTCAAGTGGAAGTGGAGCAGAAGGAGTCCCTGAAACATGGATGATGAGAGCCATGAGAGACATGAGAGCCATGAGAGCTGCGATGAATGAGTCATCTCTTTATTTTGTTGCACAGGAACCTGAAGCTGGAAGTTTGGGCTGCTCTATGACAGAGAACACTCCGAACTCTTTTGTTTATCAACATCGAAACAAAAACCCTGTGACCATTCCAAGTGACCGTGAATAGTGACAGCGCATCCAAATCTTCGACCGCAAGCAGCATCGACCGCCGCGTCCCGCCGTTCGGCAAAGCATGCGAAACATGCACCCCCCAGCGCCCCCTTCCGCGCCTCCCAAGGCCAGCTTCACGGCTGGCTTGGACGCTGTCAAGGTCTCGTGCCTCTCGGGCAAGCGCGCCACCTCCCGCCGGCGTTGGTCGCGTTGGTCGCGTGTTCGCTCGATTGAGATGTTTCCGCGACACTATGTTGGATTCCTTGGATTTGCGGGGGCTAGGCTGTTTACACTCTGAAGCCCGTTCGCACCTAAACCCAAGATCTCATGTCTCCCACAACCACTTTCAACGGCGAAAACCAAGCCTCCATCGTCACATCCACATTGATGGAGCCCACGACCTGCCAAAATAGCGCAGCGTTCGTTGAAGGAAGATGGAAGTGTTTCCAATGGCACCCTGGGAAAGAAAATGTGTTTGTGCCACTCCTTCTGCAAAATCGAAATGTAGCTTTCGAGGCAAAGGAATCTCTCCACAGTTGAAGGCAAATGCCTGAACTTGCACAAGATTTGAAACCATCTCAGTTCCGAAACACCTCCAAACTTTGGTGGCAGTAGCAATCAATCCTCTACCCATTCTGCCCATCCACCCATCAAGCTGGGAGGGCCGTGATCCGCGGAAGGCCGCCACAGAGCCGCAGCGGTAAATACACCACCCAAAGGATCCAATGAATGGTGGACATGGCTCAGATGATGGCTCAAATTGGAAGGCTTTCGATGATTGCACCAGCCACTCTGGCGGTGTTTGGGTGTTTGGGGATCCATTTGGCCTTGGTATTATGGAGGGACTGGCCACTGGAGGAATATGTGAGATAATTCCCACAAAAGGCGTCATCCCGGGCAATTCTCGAAGGCTCATGTGAGAGTCGTGACTGGCAAAGGGCTCAATGCTCAAATGAGGCATTGGTTGAGTTCCTCGTCCTCCGATCTTGCTGGATAAAGCGAATTGGGGGCCTGAACCCGTACAGGATTGAGAATCCATTTTTGGGCTGCTCCAAATGGCTGCAACATAGAGAAACTCGGCAACGAAGCTCTTTCCGGCGCTGTACATGAAGGTCTTGCACGGCCCTCCTGGTGGTTAAGAAAGGGGTGTGACAGGGAAACAAAAAAAACGCGCTGCCTACTCAGATGAAACAACTCTGATCTTCAAACGGGCACAGCAGAAAGACGGAAAGCAGAAATACCCGAATCATACAATGTGTTATCATGGCCAAAGAAATCAACCAACCATTCTGTTCACGACTCAGGCCAAAACGCTTGACACGATCTACCAGTCAAAACACCTAAAAATACGTACTTTACATCGAGAGTTCTCTGGGTCTGGCGATTTGCTGGGGTCCTGCAGACAAGTTGGTCTAAAACCAGCTACCCCGCGGTAAGAACATGCACCCCACTAAAGAAGAGCTCAGTGAAGATTCCAAGGAATGAAGAGTCACCAGATCCCACCAATGGAAGCTCTTGTTCTTGTTGTTCGATATCCCATGATGTTCCCACCAGCGACTTCAAAAACTGGATCAGTGTAGATCCTAGCAGCACCAGAAAACGTCTCTTCGAACTTCAGCAGCACCAGGCGTCGCCAGCAGAGCTTGCCACAAACAGCATGGCTCTGGCGTTCACGGCAGAGGTACAGCACTGCGCCTGAATGTTGTGAACTGGGAGAAGATGGCAGGTGAGAAGCAGTGTCAGGAACTCAGAAAACTAAAACGACTTGCCATCCAATCAAGCAGAAAGCCGGCGAAATCTGCTTGTCACCTAACCTACCCCCTCTTCTCCTGCACCTCCTCGTCTGCGCTTCCTCCGCCCAGCGTCGAGTAGGGGGTCAAGCACTGCGGCACACTGCGCAGAGCTCCTCGCAAGGAAAGAGACTAGTCTTGACATGGAGACTAGTCCAGCTGTTCCATTGAACCAACATAAGTTTATCTTCAAAGGGTTCGGTTTGGAGTAGTGTGTACGGTGATCAAAGAGCATCAAAATGCTGATGAAGCATTCATAAATGCATAGCAACAGTAGCATCAACAGCTGTGATGCCATGTTTGTTGAGCAGTTTGGACAACACAAGAAAAAAGAACACTTCAAATGTAGCATCCTGTGTTTGAGGCAGGCCTACCACAGTAAGAGAAACACCATAGACACCTCCACAAATCCTCAGCTCCACGAAAGGCGGAAAAGGAAATTCTCCAATGGTTGGTCAAATGAGTCAATTGATGAATCAAATGGACATGACAAGAAGAATACCCAACCGAAAGCACTTGGCAGAAAAATGATGAAGCGGATGTTGCTGCGAGTATATAGTTGGAGGCACGGCGGGATCGGTCAGTTAGTTTTTTGGTCCAGGGCAGTTGACATCACCACTGTCGGCCAGCGGCACGTGCATTGATTTGCATCGATGCCGAATGATTAGGCATGCCTTGTGAACAAACGAAAGCCACAGGTTCCACAGGACTCCCTCTATTTCAACCATACAGTGGGGGGAGAATCACAAGGCCACACTATTCACTGGCTGATCAAGTCTCTGAACCCACCCCCCCGGAGGGACATCTTCGAAGGGATCCCGGGAACTCTGTTCCAAGTCCTAGACTTCTGACACAAAAGACGGTCTGGAACACTTGACGTTCGCTGCCATTCACGTAGGCCGCAGCAGCGTTCCAATGCGTAAGGGTTCAAATGCCCTATTCGGCATCACGTGTCGAGGAAATCAAACTGGTTGCCTCCCTATGCTGTGAAACTACCCGCCAGCACCACAGTCCTTTCGAGCGTCTCGTGCCGGCTCGTCGGTTTCCGACGTAGGCCATGCTGCCTGCTCCGTGAACACACGAAAGCCACGACTCCCTGCATTTCCAACGACCAGGGGGGAAAGTCAGAACACGCTTGGTCGTGGACCAAAACCCACACCAAAGTGGGAATACAGGGACTCCTGCTCCAAATCTACAAAGTCCTTCGGACTCTGCCACAAGAATGGCCTGGAACACCTGACCTCCGCTGCCATTCACTCGCCGCACAGACAAGTTCCGCATGCCTTGCAGAAATCTAAGCATCATGAGCAGACCAAACAAGCTGCTGTCTATGCTGTGAAAGCGATTGTCCAAAGGTCCCTTTCAACGGACGCCTATCCAAAACCGGCGTTTCACAGTGCGAAGACATTGCACTTTGGACAATTCTCTAAGCAGGGAAACTAAAGCGCTGGAAACATGCAACTGAATTCTGGGTTTCAAATGGCAAGATCCAAAATCTCTTGACACACCGCCAGCCATCTCATTGGCTGCGGGCACCACGGACGCTCTGGACACAGTGACACCAAGCTGAATCGGGCTCAATGGATGAACTCTCCAGATCTGACTCTGCTTCGGCCCCTGTCAATTTGAAGGACCTCAAGGAGGGCGTTTTACGTCCTTCCAATTTCTTCTTCAAATTGATGCTGACGAGGTCCCCCGTGAGGGGTTCGAAGTGGTCATTGTGCTGCGGAGACAAGGTGTCAAGCACAAAGGTCTCCTCGTTCAAGAGTTCCTCCAAAGTCTGAGCAAGATGAGTTTGCTTGTCTACCTTGTAGCGTTGCACCCAGCAGAAGGCCAGCAATCCGCTCACGATTGACCTCACTCCGCTCACGACGGGACGACGGGACTCCGACGGACGGCCGGTGTGCCGCGCTTTGAGCGGTGGACGGCGGTGTCATCAACTGCCGGCAGGGTAGGTTGTCGGAGGCTATCAGTGATTACTACACTAGTGATTCTGATTATGCAACTTGCCAGCTACTCACATAGATCAGCACAAGGCATGAGAGAGAGTGGGAAATAGACTATAGTAGACTATTTCGACTAAACCTCGTCATGGTATGGAGCGGCCAGTGTCTTAACATGAAGGCTCTCCCCCAACAAACAGGATGTAGTCTATGGTTCTGACATGTTTTGACCAATGGCCAAGGAGCAAATACCCACCCAGCCGTGCGAGGAAAATGATGCAGTGCGCCAGCCGTCCGACCTCAACTTCCTCCCTCACATGCGGATCAAGCCGAACAATCAGCTCCCATGCCGAGGGCGTTGGCACCTTCGGAAAGACTTGGCTCCAATACCTGAATCGGGATCATGGGCTGAGAGACTCACTTGTGGGTCTCAAATGTCGTGAAAGGGGAAGTAAATATGAACCCCCCAGCACTTGGAAGAAGGGATTCCAGCATCCCCTCATTCTGGGGCACCGTTTCAAGAAGTAGCGACCCTTCAACCGATCTGCTTCGCCTTCAATAAAGGTCCGAGTTGCATCTCACCATCCTGCGTGGGAATGACCCTGCTATTGACAAACAGCAGCTGAGTGCTGAAGGCGTCATAAAGCTCGGGAGAAACGAATGCGTTAAATGAAGAGATGAAAGATCGGCCAGGCGCATAGGGATCCGCTGACATCTGCATCGACCCCTTTCGTACTTTTGTGAGCAAAAGCTCTGCGATGCCTGGGAAAGCGCGCGTGAGAAAGATGGGATGGTGGCAAGTGTCTGCGCAATGGTCACGCATCACATAGTAAAGGCCAAAGCTCTTGCTGGCGTCTCCCCCAAGAAACAGACGGGATGGTGAGCTTGGCTTCAAGGCTGTAGCATTGATGGCTTGACAGTAGGAGTCTTCGAACTGATCTTTGAACTGAGGAGGCAATATCTCAAATTGCCCTTTGGGCTCATCAAGCTTATCCCCGAATCCCTTTCCTGTGCCTAGTTGGATCTTTTGTTGTTCATGCTTTTTTGGAGGTGAAATGATCTGGCAAAGGCTCTCACCCTTCGAACCATTCAGTTCGGATCCATCCACCGTCCGGAAGGATTGGAGCACGCAGGTCTCAATGTTCAAAGGCTCCACGCTGCAGAACCAGAGCTCCGGGACGCGACCCCAGTCGTCGCTCTGCGAGGTCTGCAACAGGGGAGCCTCAAACAACGACGGAGGACCGAGACGGTGTGGCAGGAGGGCACGAAGAAGACTCCAAAGACCAAACAAAAAATACATTTCACGAATGCTGGGGAGAGCTCGAAAAGCAGTTGGAAGTACCTGCCACTGGGACTTAATTACGTAAAGTGTTTCCATCAAATGACTACCATCCACGCAAATTGCTCTTCCATGTGCATTCAAAGCCACATCAGCGTGCCACACTTCATAGATCCTCCTCGCGTAGAACAGGGTTGGTAAGGCATACAATGCCGTGACCACAACCCAGGAGAAGAGCCACCACTTCTCATTCTTCACCTTCAAGCACGGAAAGAACGACATGTTTCTCCTCAAGTCCCTGCACCGACCGACCAGCACGATCTCTGAGCCCGATCGCTGCGGCCAGGGACTTTGTCTCTGCAGACTCCCATGGAGTGAAAATCGCTATGATCTGGAAGCATTAACTCACAAGCCAAGCTCGTTGGATTGTTCTTGGACTCAAGTAAGGTAAGGGAGCCGTAACTCAAGTGTGCCTTTCCGAGCTAAGGCCTGGGCATGCCTTGGACCGTGCTGAATGGACGTATAGGTGCAGTTTACAGGATCGATAGTTGATGTCCACGCACGTCCATGCAATGGCAGTCATGACTTGGTAGGTCCAATTTCGGACTAGTGTCAGGCGCTCTTCGCTCGATCCAGGCTAATTGTTCAAGGAATCTGGCAGCTGATGGAACCGGATCAGTTCCCTATAAATATAGAAAACCATTCAAATGATAGATGATAGATGTAGCAAAATGGTTTGAAGTTCGAGCTCTTTGCACCAGCAAAAGCCACATAAAGCCACCCACATACCTGTTCCCACGAAACCCAACGACTCCGTTCCAAAGCGTGTGTTGCAACGACTCGACTCCAACGACTGGCCAACAACCCAGGAGCTTGGCTCCTTTCGGGCGCATCACGAGGCTGACGGAGCTTGGACCTGACAGAGCTGCGGTGGGATCACATGGGTCCCATGTGATGAAACACCTTCAGTTCGACAGTTGGCCGTCTTGTGTTGGATCCCGAAAGGGCCCGGATGGACCTGCAGTTCCGAAGTTCAGCGTTCCGCTGCACTGCACAGTTCGGCGGTCGACATGCCGACCGTTCTGGCACCCAAATTCGATCCTTGCAGCCAGAAAAGCATATAGACCTATTAGACCTAAAGACCTATTCCGATCGCCATGCGGACGTTTGATGTCAGGAATCCGCACAGCACCGGTGGCCTCAACGTCCACTCTAAATCAGGCAAACCAAGGTTTCATGTACAGCACAACCCACCTCCCAAGGGCTTTGGATCGAGTTGACGATCCTCCCGTTTGAATGAATCTTCGGAACTTCTACAACTTCGGTGCTAGCAACCTTCACATGAGCCCAAAACACAGCTCGATGAGAAGGTGAGGGTTCTACATCTTCACCAACGTGGGCCAAACACACACCTCGACCCAACTCGGCTCATCCCGAGCGTGCACGCAGCTCGGCTGCTCGGCCGGCGGCTGGCAGCTCATGGAGTTCTTTTGCAGCCGGTGGATCAGAATGAAGCGAAGAGCCAGGCGTGATACCCCAGTGTGGTGACAGTTGTGTGGGCTTTTCAGTGAAAAATGTATCACTTTCTTACTTTAAGGTCTTTGAACAGGTCTTGTCGAGAGTTCCGACCGGATACATAAACTTCACAAGAATCATCGAGCAATGTCCACGTGAGTTGACAGGTCGATTTCGAGATACGATCTTGAGCCCAGATGGCCTCCAACCAAAAAGCAATGACCACTCTAAAACCACTTATTCCAGTCATCTTCAACCGGGGGGGAAGAAGACGCAGAGTGCCCTCTTCACGAGAGGTCAGATGTGCTAAGTGCTCCGAGCGGGCTCTCTTCCAGTCCGACGAATACAGGGAAGATCTGCAGTTGAAAAGAATAGCAGTGCAAGGAATATCGCCTTCCACAACCACTCCACCCATGCAGAGGCACATGAAAATGACTTGGCAAATGACTTGACGCATCATCAGCCATGTTGGCCACAAACATTCAAAACGGCACCATGCAACTAGGGATGCCTTTCACTGAGAGGATCGTGATCTACCTGGTTGTGGCTTAACAACTCCAGAGGCACTCCAACTAATTTGCTGAGTCACGGAGTCTGAGCAGAGTGTGCTTTCTTGCTACTGTGTGTATGCCTTCGTGATGATTGACATAGAAACTGGTAGTATACTCCTGGTTCTCTAACTGTTTCAACAAACAAATGTTGGTTTCCTGGCACCGAAAGAAAAACATCTCAGCAGCTTGACAAAAGGCCCCGTTTCAAGGTATCAAACAGGTCCACATCCTGGAAACTCCGAAACTCACAGAAATCCATGAAGGTCGTCCATTGATTTGGGGCACGGGTGGATTCTTGTTGCCAGAGAAAATCCATGGGTCAGTTCCTTTCCACACTGAATCTTACTCTTACCGATCCCTTATTCATTGAATCTTCCATTCGTGACTGTCCCATCCGGACTACGTTCCATCGAAGGACTCCTGTGGGTTGAAGCTCGTCTTCGGTCCCAAGCTCCTTGCAAACAGTGACCAACGGAGATAGATCAAATACTGGGAATGGATCCTTTGTGTACATACAGTGTCTGCAGAAAAAGGAACTGCAAAATTGGCACACCTCGTGCCCTGTAGGCAGTCGGCAAACTCCCCCCCCACCGCCTCTCTCTCTCTCTCTCTATCTCTCTCTCTATCTATCTATCTATCTATCTATCTATCTATCTATCTATCTATCT